TCTTCAAACTCTGGTGTTTGGTTGGGGTCCGGAGGCTCTTTTGTAGCCGAAGGTTCAGAGCCATCGTGGGGAATATACATATTGAATGCAGCCAACTGATTCTTTGTCTCTCTGAACCTCTCGACTACTCTCAACCAGTGGTGTAGTGCAGGGTATACGCAGGTATACGGCGTATACCCACTTCTTTTTCAGTCGGCATTGCGTATACCCACTTCTAAATCCCCTCTGATGCGCATCATTTAGTTGCTAATCCAATCTCGTGAATAAAAAACACCCAGTCAGGGTCGTACCCCTAATATTAACTCTAATTTGTTGCTGCAATGCTTCTCCCATCGCGACGATAACTGACCTTCTCATCTGATCTGCTTCAGCACTCAAACACCCGCTCGTCAATGTCAAAATGTTTGAGACCAATCAAAGCATGCAGGATTTTTGTTCACAGAAGCGCGAGCCGAGCGCTAATCCCAACGTGACGCTTCACTTCAGTTTAACGATCATACAGTGCGAGATAAGATGCAAGTAGCTAAAATATACGGCTGTTTTTCGATAGAAGTTTTAAATGACAGACAGAAATAATCAGTTTGATCAAAGACAGTGGAAATTATAAGCTCAATTTAACAACACAAGCACCCTATTAAATATATGTTTGTATCACTGTTTCACTGTTTGTATCACTCCGCTTGTCTGTGTTTGCGCAACTTGCATCATTAAGCCAGAAGGCGGCGACAAGTGACTGTCTTTATGAGTGAGCAATTGAACCATTAATTAAATCAACAGATTAGTCCAAAAACATTCATTCATTTAGGAAAGAAAAGGTAGCTGAAACTGGAACTGATTCTCATGTTTAAGAATCTGATCAAATACTTCATGCTTTTAAAGCTACTGTTGTCCATTTTTTTGGCCATCAAAACACCTTAAAATGCTCATGTCGAGATCAGGAAAATCAATGCATGCCCCCCAACCCCCCTAGCAATATCATTTATGGGACCTGGGTATTTAGAAAACCCTACGTACGGCCCTGATATGCAAGAATACTAGTGATTCTATATGTTCTATTGTATTCATTATATTCTATATTCTTGCATATTCAATACTAATGCAAGACTAGTCTTACATGTCACTGTTTATAACACAGAGCGTTCATCCTTTGCTGGGACGCTTAAAAAAATATTGGGGGCATAAATTAAAGAGTATACCCACTTCTCCAGGCACCACTACATCACTGCTCTCAACTGCAGTGCCAAAGAGGCCAAATGGCAAAACCAGGCAGTCCAGAAGAGTCATTTTATCTCTCTGCCTGATCCCCGAAAGGTTCAGCCATAGAACGCCAATAACACGGGCCGTCCATTTGGTGGCACTTAGAGCTAAAGAAGGAATTGTTTCCGCCTCAACTTTTAAACACATTAGACTCCTCGAAGTCAGATCGGGCCATTATTATGTTCTCAGGCAAACCGCAAGAAGCCACAGAGCGGGCTTCCAAGTCTGCCCTGAGAACTCCTGAGTTAGCGGGTGAAGACTGAGAAAGGCGAATTCCCGTCTCAGATCTTTCAGAACTCAGATCTTGACCTGCGATCACCAAGATTTTAATATCCGAGCTGCCTAAGCAGCCGCAGGACCTGAACCGTGGGGCGCAGATGCCAGGCTTCCATCATCATCAAAGAGATCCCGGCAAGAGGAGAGGTTTTTTTAGGGTAAAACACTCACAATGTGGGCAGCCACCTCTCTCAAGAGATGCCCCCGCATGCTGTGTGTCCAAAACACAAATCGTGTGCATCGTCCTCTTTCAGAAACCGTGTGCAAGGAGGCACACATGTTTTAAATGCTTTGCTTGCCATAAGAACTCCTAACCGATGGAATATAAGGACAAACAATGACACACACACATCAACACAAAGAGGCTTCCTAAAGACGAAGAAGATGATGACACATGTTTGAACGTCTATTTATAGTCTCACTGACTCGATTACCATTCGTAACCTGACTATTTCAAGGTCAATTTCATTGGTGTGTTGGCACACACGCTTCAGACACTGGCCCACGCAGAGGCGTTCCCATTGCGTCAATCTGACGCGGTGTTGAGTTCCCTCGAATGGGAACTTCCTTTAACTTAGCTTTTTATACATTTTACTTATGAAAACATGGCTGTATGGAAATCTATTAATATTGATGCACACCTCTTGTGGTCAATAAATTCTTATAATATTACAATATAAAAAAACAACAACATTATACCGCTACAGTTAACATTTTCAGACCTATGAATTATTTGAAGGGCTTTTGTTCATTTGCTAAAAACCTGATTTGGGTCACATTTCTGTTGAATTGCCCATCAGAAAAAAGATCCTGTAACATTTTCAGGAAGCTGTGGCACACCTCCCAGTGGGGATTTCTGACCAATTGTCCAAATTTAGTGAATAGCTTCAGTTGTGCTAAGTGCTTCTAATAATAGTGGGTTTCCGTTATAAACCGTTTGCAAGTTTTTGGCTCCTATAATTTGAGAGAAGAAGTGTCAGCACATATGTAAACCAGCAAAAAGAAGTTCAGATAAAACTTGTTCTCTCACAAGCCTCGAAGTTTAGTGCTTTGATCTGTGTGTAATTTATATCAGGCATTAAACTGGTGATCTCATTCTCAAGAATGACTCACTTACCCTAAGTCATACTCAATGACCTCCTGATCTTGATTTTACATTCATAATTATTAGGGCTGTCAATAGATTATATGTAAACTGAATAACTTACAAAATGTTATGATTAAATAACTAACTGAATCACAATTTATAAATAGATATTTGCTCAGAAAAGCCTCCTAATGAAGACCCAATGTCAATCCAATGTCATTTCGAAAGACAATCTTTTTTTTCTTTTTTTCTTTCATCTGAGCTACAGTTTTTTTAGTATTAATATAGTATATTATTCATGTACACGTGCAGTCTTTGGACCTTAAACGTAGCCTCTTTGTTAAAGGGGTGGTATAATGCCCTTTTCACAAGATATAAAATAAGTCTTTGATGTCCCCAGAGTGTGTATGTGAAGTTTTAGCTCAAAATACCACACAGATATTTTTATATAGCATGTTCAAATTGTCACTTTTTGAGGGTGAGCAAAAACGCACAGTTTTTGTGTCTGTCCCTTTAAATGCAAATGAGCTGCTGCTCTCAGCACAGGGGGCGGAGCTACAACAGCTTGTGTCCTTTTACCTCACACAGACACGCACTGAAAATATAAATGTTGGAGAGTCACAGACAATAATGGAGAGACTCAAGAAGAAGTGACAACAAGCAGAATGCAACAGAACATTTCTGAACGGTTAGTTGATGAATTCATTTAGCTTATTAATAGGGCTGTCAAATGATTAATCGTGATTAATCACATCCAAAATAAAAGTTTTTTTTACATAATATATATGGGTGCACTGTGCATAATTAATATATATATTTAAATACACACACATGCTTGTATATATTTAAGAAATATTTTCATGTATATACTGTATATAGATTTATATATAATTATATTATATATAAATATAAATATTTTATATATAAATAATATTTTTTTCTTAAATATACATGCATGTGTGTGTATTTATATATATATACAAAATAATTATACACAGTGCACCCACATATATTATGTAAAAAAAACTTTATTTTGGATGTGATTAATCGTGATTAATCATTTGACAGCCCTACTTATTATGTTTTGTATTATTATGCTTTGAACTTTGAGCTTCGTAACTTTGCAGATGTTGTTTATGCTCAAACAGCAACAGTACACACTAATTAAAGTTAAAAAAGTGAAATCATAATCAAGCACCCCTTTAAGACGGTCTTAAATGTACGTCACACTGAATGTTTTGATTCGTAAGGAACTTCATGAGTTGTGCAATGACATCTCGTCCAGACTCACATTGTCCTCTTAGTCATGTCATTTATTTTCTTTAAGAGGACAATGTGAGTCTGGACGAGATGTCATTGCACAACTCATGAAGTTCCTTATGAATCAAAACATTCAGTGTGACAATTATTTTAAGGCCCAATGAAACTTTTTTTTTTTCAGACATTCTGTGTTGTCTGTTTTATTTTTTCTGGAATTATGATTTAATAGGCCTATATATGTATTATCAAAAACATTGGTAATCAAACGTAGACATAAAACATTAACAATTTAATTTATCTTGTACATTTTTTTTTTTTTGGCAAAGTGTAAAAGTTATAAAGTTAAGTAATTTGTATTATTTATTTTTTATTTATTTAGAGAAGGGACAGTGTACATTAATCAACATTCATGAATGTAAATGTACCCAAAATGAATTAATATTACTAGTATTACTTTGAGAAGTACATTTCTACTGTACAAAAGTAATATATTTCAGTCACAATTTCTTCAAGTTAACTTTAATTTTGATGATGTCTGAAACACTGGTTCATAGCCTGTCAGGATCTAAATGTGGCCAATCAGACCAAGAACCGTATGACCAACATGCAAACAATCAGCTGCAGTTTTCCTGGAGCGAAAAAACGAACAAACAAAAGGTAACCGATTTAAATGCTGACACCGCCATATTGAAAAGTGCAGACTTCCACCAACAGGCCAAAATCCAGTTCACCAGTCTTGTCGCATAAGCATACTCAAATTAGCCGTAAGTTTCTACACTCTTCTCTCGAACAGAGCCATGAATATGATGATGGCTTTTCCTGTTGCACCACTGAATTCCTGCCACATAAACTTCAGCAATTCTGTGGCCTCACTGAAATCCATGTTGATCTCTCCAACTACTAAGCTTTTAGTTCTGCACATGACATCAAACTTAAGGTTTGGCATCACTTCCTCAAGGTTCCTTGACAAAGAACAGCCACACTGGTTAAGTTTTCCATTATGCTTAATGTTAGCAAAGAGGATGCTAATATTTGGATTCATTATATTTTAATTCACATTTTTATGATCACATTAGTATACTGTCGGCCTTACTAGTAGTAGTACTAGTACACAACTCACCTGAAGGTCGAAGAATTTACTGTAGCGCCTGAAAATGTTCTCAGTGCTGCCATCAGACCAAGCCACCTTGATAATGTAAACCTACAGTAAAAAAGGAAAGAAAATGAGAGTTAACCCACATTGACAGTTTATCGGTTAAAGGTGTAGTTTACCAAACTATGAAAATTCTGTTTACTTATATATTTTTTATCACCCTCATAGTCCCAAACCAGTACAGGTAACCAGTACTTTGCGCTCTTTTTCATGCAACTTTGATGAATGGGGACTGGAGCTTACAAGCTTTAACCCTCTGGGGTCTGAGGTGTTTTTGGGGCCATTTGGATGTTCTGTGATGCCCTTACATTTGTGCTTTTTTCAGTTATTTATAAACATGTTAATGGCAAAGGTGTAAATTCACTCTATATAGCACAAACAGGGCTACCATAATCTGTGAGCAACTTGTATGTACATTGTTTGTATTTTTAAGAGAATATTGTTTATGCGTGGTTATTGAAAAAAATTAAAATGAAAGCTGCTGAAATAAGACCACAAAACAAATACTAAATATGTGTCCACAAGACTTTTGACAAATGGATGTTGACGCTTCGAGTTCTGGCTTCAAAATGATCTGAAAATCATCCTTCCTAATCATTCACATAAACCAATAGATTGTTTTAAATTGTGAAAAACATTTTTTTGTTTGCCAAGGCAATATGCAGATGGGCGGAACGGCCCAACCCCTATCATGAATATTAAGTGGTTCTCAGACAGTGACCCTACATAATAATGAGCCTTTCATTCAGGGGTGTCACACAAGAAATAATGCAAGGACAATATATATATATATATATATATATATATTGTCATTGCATTCTTTCTTGTATATATATAGCCTAAATATATATATATATATATATATATATACACACACACACACACACATATATATATATATATATATATATATATATATATATATATATATATACAAACAATCAAAATATAAATGAAAGCCAAAAGCACATTTTTAGTCATACCTGGAAACAAATTCTAGTCAAATGCTATATGGGCCATTCTACAGAATCTTGAAAAGAAAATAGTCTTTTTCCATAAATGTCTTATAAAGTATTATTTTTTAAAGTAGACCAATACAATAAAAATAAACCAGTCGCATTTCAAAGTCGTTCGCGAAATGACCGCCAGGTGGCGCAAAGGGACATTTATCAAAACGTAAGTGGGGCTAATGTCAATTAACAGTAAGGATGAAATTCTACAAGTTATGGTAATTTGCAAATAAGCCTACAACAAACATTTATTTTTAAACAAATATTTTTAAATATGCAACATGCACGTTTAAACAACAAACAATACAATCTGAACCAGCGCTTCTGCTCCTGTATTGAGACATGCAGCGCGTTGCAGTTACGATCCGGGTTCCAGTGGCCTTAATACATTCACGGCTTTTTAAAATGTCACAAAGCGTTTTGAGATGGTTTTGAATGAAATATTGAAGTTTATAATTAGGGTATTTTGGCACACCACGCCGAGTGGCTATGCATTATTCTAAAATCTGGCTTTATTCTGGCATGTTGAATTAGAGTTTGACAAACGCGGCGGCGCGTTCATTTGAATTTATTTTTCTCATAACAGCTAAAAGAACTTACTGCGTAATTGTTGGTCATACAGATAAGATATCATCTTTTAAAACTGTAAAAGGTCTACTTTTATTCATGTAGGCTAAAGTAGGCCTACACTCACAGGCTAACGACAAAACGTTTTCTCGCTCATGACAAACAAACGTTTGGGCATTTCTCAGTGAGAAAATTCATAGCCGAGTGGTAGAACTTACGGTTCGATCATCAAGATGACACGGGTTCAAATCCCGAACAAACATGGTCTATTGTAAATTTTATATTTATTAATGCAGAGAGATTTGTGTAGCTCTAAAACTCTGGTACACCATACAGTTTTTTGCTTATATTTATAAAATAAAATTACCATGCATTTCCATTTTACACTAAGGAACAATAGTATCCAACAGAACGACTTTGCATCTGTACCAATCGTATGAGGCCAATCGTAATTTCAAAAGCAGTTCTGTAAAAAAAGTAATTTTATATATATAGCCAATATATATATATATATATATTTTATTAGGCCTATTATTATTATTTTTTTGATTCCCTACAACCTAGAGTTTTTAAAAACATGGTTTTAAGTAAAGTGTGATTTGCCAGGGGGACGGGGATTTCCTTCTGGTCTAAACATCCCTGCTTCTGCTGAATTATTTGAATCCCCACACCCCTCCCTCCACAGTAATCAATGCTATAGGCTACTTCACCAATAGACCATATCAAATATAAAATAGAGATATGCAACAGAACAAGCACGTTTAAACAACGATAAACAATAAAATCAAAACCAGCGTTTCAGTTGTCCATAGTTCAAGTGGCCTTAATGCATGCACGGCTTTTCAAAATTTCACAAAGCGTTTTGAGATTATTTTGAATGAAATATTGAAGTTTATAATTAAGTGTTTTGGCAGACCACGCCGAGTGGCCCTATGCATTTTTCTAAAATCGGGTTTTATTCGAACTTTTGCTAACGACAAAAGTTTATCTGTCGTCTCTGTCTCCGGGAACTGCGCGTCACAAAAATGAACCGAAAGCCACTTCAGCTCAGTCACTATAAGAAATCGGCTCTGTCTAATGCCTTTAAATGTCTAAATATTCAGGCTAATAAATGTTATCTGATTATGTAATCCATATGAAAACGAGAGGTACAGAGGATCTACTCAAACATGTAGCCTATGTAAGCGCTTCCCAATGAGAAAATGACAAGGGTGAAAATCTCGCTCTAATGAAATGTAGCAGGCTAAATCGCCCTGAATTAAAATGTAAAAACAGATCAAATAATGTATTTGTCGAAATGTTGCGATATTGTTTCATTTAAGTTCATAATTATTCTATAGGCCTACATGTTATTTAATTTAGCAACATTACCACGAAGCACCGTGGTTCGATATTTATTTGAATAATAAAAAAAATAATAAAAACTTAATTCACAAATTGCATGCCTGGTTGAAAGGATCCAAAGATCCCTGTAGAATTTAATATTAAGTTGAACATTTTGTTCATGACAACAAATGAACATGCGTTTTTTCAGATTATATTTAGTTTTGCTTGGAAAAAGCTGGCCCAAACCAGTTTTATTTCATCAATTATTGAAATAATGAAATATTTAGTAATAAACTTTTATGACAGAAATTTCACTAGGCTACATGTAACTTAAATCATTTAATTCCTTCATTATCAACACTGTCTAGAATAGCGATTTAAGTGTGAATTACGACTTCTCTTTGTGTTAAATCAGCCTCAGACTCCGATAGCCTGTGGGGGGTTGGGGGACAGTTCAGTGCTGTGCGCGCAGGACAATAGGCCTAGGTGTTAATGTTCCTCTTTCATATGGAGAGCGAGGGAGACTAAATAAACTTGTTAAAAAGAGATTCAGCGCGAGAGAGGCAAAGAAAAACGCATGTTTTAATTTAATTATGTTGCTTTGGACAATTTTCGTTTTGTAGGCCTACTGTTTTAATTGTTTAATGTCATTTATTTGGCAATACAAATTTAAAATGTCGCAAGAATAATATTAGCCTAGTGTTTCTTATTTTGCATCGCAAAAGAAATAAACTCTAAACCCGATGCAACCCTGTTTTAAATAAAAAAAAACACTTTATTTAAACCTTGAAATGTTCGAACTTGGTTTCAAACTTAAGTAATTTTAGTGTTCTTTTACATTACACAATAATTTAGCAGACTAAAGACGAGCTTCTTCATTTTCATTTTCTGATGCAATCGGCTGACAATCTTCCTTCATCAGTTTGTGTCCTTTGTGCAGCGGCTGCGGTTCTACTGGAATGTAGCAAATTTATGTTGTAATGATAATTAAACAAAACTCTTGACTTTAAATAAGTAAACAGTTATAAACAGTTAGCTATTTAAGCATCAAGAAGGTAAAATATAAACGCTGTTGGCCAACATCGGTTAACAACATGTATGCCACATTGAGATTCGATCTCGGGTCGATTGAAGCTCCCTGAAGCTCGTGTTGATGCGTTGATCACTGAGCCACCGTTTTATGTTTTCATTATTTATTCAATTTCATTTCAGTATTTCAGCCTAATTTCAGTATTGTGGTAATGAATTATTTTAACTACGTTTCACTTGTTGAATTCATCTGCTACCAGCTTTCAATCGCTCTGAATGAGCAGCAGATTACGCATTAGAGAGAATAAACGAACACTTTTCAGAGTCTATGATTGTAGCGCCTCTTAGCGGTAAAAGGTAGCAAATACACCCCACATTTTACCGCCGCGGTGGAACGGCTGATGTGGGCGTTGTCATGGCTTTCCTCTACATTTGCGTTTGAATAGCGCGCGTTCTCCGTGGGCGTGTCAGATTAACGCGTAATGAAGTGTAATGAGCTGGGGAAAAAAATTCTGACAGCACTCTCTTTTCATACAGATTACATAAACTGAGAATATTTGTTTTTTATATAAATTACTTCATTGAAAAGAAGAGAATTCAAGCTTCATAAAGAAAAATCTCTCGTGCCTGTGTGACAAGTATTTGCAGAGTTAGAGTTAATTTTTCGGACGCGTTTCAGAATGGACTGCACTGACAGAGAGAAGGCAAAACTCGCATCATGTTTATTTTTCTTCATTTGACAAAAAGCACAACACTTTGTTTTTATTGTGAGTATACAGAAAAATAATATACACTAAACAGGATCGACTGATGTATAACACTTACATGTAAGATTAAAATCAACAGAGTATTTTGAGTCTCTTTTGCACTGATAAGAAAAAAAGTCTGCCTATCGCGCCGGCGCGATAGCCGACCCCAGGGGGTTAAAAAGATGCAGAAGCACCATACAGACATCCTAAACGTACGTGTCTCTAATGACCTGTGCACTACATTCAATCTGAAGCCATGTGACAGCTTTGACTAAAACTAAAGCCCCGTTCACACTACAAGCGACAAAGCGGCACGATACCATTTATTTCAATGGGGGGCGACACGCGCGACCGGTGGGGCGTGTCT